CCACCCCCATCACTCACCACTTCCCCTCCCCCACCCCCATCACTCACCACTTCCCCTCCCCCACCCCCATCACTCACCACTTCCCCTCCCCCACCCCCATCACTCACCACTTCCCCTCCCCCACCCCCATCACTCACCACTTCCCCCTCCTCCACCCTCATCACACACCACTTCCCCCTCCCCACCCCCATCACTCACCACTTCCCCCTCCCCACCCCCATCACTCACCACTTCCCCCGCCCCCACCCCCATCCATCACTCACCACGCCGTCAGAGAAGAGGTTGAGGTACCCCAGCACAAGGTGCTTGTTCACTGCAGGTGCACCAGATGCGGCTGCCAACAGACTCGCTCCTGCTGGCGCTGCCACAGCCACTGCCTTGGCCTTCTTCTCGTCATTGTCAGTCGCTGCTGCATCACCCTCCTTCTCTCCCTCCTCGCTCCTGTCTGCTGTCACTGTCTGCGCATCGCCACCTGCCCTCCGCCTCCTCAACCCCCAACACCCCCACCTGCACCACCAGCACCATCCGCACCACCCTTCTCCTCTGATTCCTCCCTGACTTCCTCTTTCAATTCCTCCTCTGCCTCTTTCCCCTCTTTTTCCTCCATCCCCCCTCTCCTCCCCCTCCTCTTCCTTCGCCATCTTCGTTTCTGCCTTGGTGTCACTCCCCTCGTCTCCTCCCCTCTCCCCTTCCTCCTCCCCCCTCATCCACATCCTCCCACCCGTCCTTGGAGCTCCCCTCTGTCTCCTCCACACTCTTCCAATTCTCGTCAGATCCGCTTGTTCCTTCGCCCTCCTCTCTCTCCTCATTCCCTGCCACTCCATCCTTCTCCTCACTCACTCTCTCACTCACTCTCTCACTCACTCTCTCACTCGCTTTCTCACTCGCTGTCTCACACTCAGCCTCGTCCTTTCCCTCGTCTCCTTCGCCCTTGTCATGCTTGCCCTCCTTCTTGGGTTCGTCACCCTTGGGAGTGTGATGATGGTGGTGGTGGTGCTGGTGGCTGTGAGCAGCAAACGGCACAGCCCGGCCTTGTGAAGTCAATTCTTCCACGCGCCTGACAATCTTCTCCACTAGGAAGAAAAGCACGATGCCAACTGGGGGTGGGTGGGTGGGGGGTGGAGGAAACGCGCATTATATCGCAGCGATGCGATATCGAATCGCCGCGATATGTTTTTGAAAAACCCGAAATCGCATATCGCGTTTTGGGTGTGATATTCTTAAATATCGCACTGTTGAGTGCGATATATCGCGCGATGCGATAAAACATTGCATTGCCAGGGCTAAATTTTCGGTCAGAGTAAAATACAGCAGCAATTTGGATGGGTAGCTAACTGGGAACTAGAGAAGGGTTTCAAACAGGTGCACAACCCACATTGGTGTACAACGTCGGTTCTAATAAATAGCAAGCGAAAATTGGCGAGCTCCAAAAAAGGGGAGCCCCACTATCGTCCAAGGGGTGGGAGGCGGGGTGGGAGGGGGCGTACTAGTGCGAGCGACCGTCGATCGGGGGGTTAGGTGGGGGGGGGAGGGAGGGAGTAGTGGGGATGCCTGCAGGAGAGGCTAAACAAACGGCCATAACACAGATGTCAAGTCCTGAAGTTGGTGCTTCTATGCTTGCTTAGGAATGGGGGAGTGGAGCAGGGCTCACGCTAAGGTTTTTTTAGACTCTGTTTCTCCCGGATTCCCCACCCCCCTGCACCCTGATTCGTCCGGATTTCAGGGTAGTTGATTTCTATTTCATCCGGATTCGGGTACAAAGTTACTTTTAGCCGAGTTATAGCAAACATTGACTCGGACATGTCAATATGTTCAAGGTCCAAACAGGGTAACATTTGCGGAGTGCCAGAAAAAGAGAGTACTTTTGGATTTGTTATGTTAGGAGTGTGAATTTCCTCCGCTAGCTTTCTGACAAACCCGCTAAAGTAGGGTAGAATATGTGCCAGCAACCTTCGCAACTTTCCGGGTTGCGGGAAGGGGGAGGAGGGAAACGTGGCTAAACGTTTTTAGCCAAATTTTCCTAGCTCCGTGGTCGTGCGGGGCTGTAGGAGGAATTTTCCAGTCTGTGAGGGACGCCAAATATTCAAGGTTTAGGGTGGCCTGGGTGGGAGGAGTCTCTCTGTGTAAAATTCTCTAGGTTTAAGGGAGACTTAGCCAAATACTCTATGTTATAGGGTAAATGCAGGAATGTTCCTGCAATGAGGACTAGCCGAAGTTTCATGGGTGTGGGTAGGAGGACTATCTCTGTTTGGGAGGGACTTAGCCGAATTCAACTATGGTCGAGGAAGGAATGTTCCTGACTGTGACGGACTTAGCTGAAAATTCTGGGTTTCGGGTGGTGCGGGTGGGAGGAGCACGGTATGTCTGTGTGTGGGGACTTCGCCATATTTGCTTGGTTGCGGGGTGAAGGAAGGAATGCTGCTGGAAGTTGGGGACTTAGCCGGTTTTTCTGAGTTTTGCTGGTGTGGGAGTTATGTGTGTGAGGGACTTAGCCGATTTCTGGTTCGGGGGCTCCGTGGGATTGTTTCTGAAAGTTGGGGACTTAGCCGGAAAAAATGTCACTGCCACCCTGGGTGCGAGGGAGGGGGGGGAAGGGGAGGGGGGGGTGGGGGGGGTATTTCTTGGCAGTTGCAGCCGGATTGCCCCCCCAGCGAATTCTGATCTTCCCGGAGCCCCCCGCAACACCACTTCTATAAAATCCGGAAACCCCAATAACTCTACCCGTTCAAAATCCGGAACGAGCCCAACGCGAACTCTTAATGTTTTTTCATTCCGGGTAATTACCCTTGAAAAATAAGCCCTGGAGTGGAGGTGTGGCTAGGTGGCTAAGGGAGTTCCACGGGTTTGCATTTTGTGTTTGCATGCTAGCTTGGGAATGGGAGTGGGGGGGAGGTGGGAAATGAGGTGGGAATGTGTTGGGGTGGGGGTTCTCTCAAAGAGGATTGGTCGCAGCTCTTTTTGGGCTTCGTTCCCCCCCCCCCCCAAATCTGCCATTTTCGCAGTGCGCGATACGCGATGTATCGCGCGCGATTCTCAAAAATCGCATTTCGCATTATGTCGCTCTAAAAAATGCGCGATATAATCGCGATATCGCAAAAATCGCGTGATTAAATCACATCGCATCGCAGCGATTTTTTAACAAACAAAGAAAAATCGCAATTGCAAAATGCGATAAAACGCGATGTGATATATCGCGATGCGATGCGATATACCCATGTCTAATACCCATACCCATACCCATACCAATACCCATACCCATACCCATATCCATACCCATTCCCACACCCACACCCATACCCATACCCATACCCATATCCATACACATACCCCCATACCCACACCCATACCCACACCCATACACATACCCATACACATACCCATACCCATACCCACACCCATACCCATACCCATAAGCATGGTAGTGATGTCCACGCCCATGGTCATGTGAATGCGCATGAGATGAGATGAACCGTCTTACCCAGCACTGTGATGCCCACTGAAAGGTCTTGTATGGAGTGTGCATGCCATCCCCCCTCCTCCCCATGCACATGCCCATGGTCATGGCCGTGACCAAGACCATGTGAGTGGGAGTCATGCCCATGCGCATGCTCATGCGCATGGCCATGGTCATGTGAATGCACTTGAGACCACATTAACAGTCATACCCAGCACTGCGATGCCGACTGAAAGGTCTTCAATGGAGTGCGCATGCCCTCCTCCCCCCTCCTCATGGCCATGGTCATGCCCGTGGTCATGTGAATGGGACTCATGCCCATGTCCATGTGGATGTGCATGCCCATGGTCATGTGACTGGGTGTGGTTGTGGGAATGCGATCCGCTGCCTGCAATGATGGCATAGCGGGGATGGGGTTCAACATGGCAACGAAAGGGGAGATTTTGAGAGGCAGACGTGAATTTTGAGTTGATGGGGTGAGGGGGAAAAGAGGTGAGGGGGGAAAGAGGTGAGGGGGAAAAGAGGTGAGGGGGGAAAGAGGTGAGGCGGAAAAGAGGTGAGGGAGAAAGAGGTGAGGGGGAAAAGAGGTGAGGGGGAAAAGAGGTGAGGGAGAAAAGAGGTGAGGGGGAAAAGAGGTGAGGGGGAAAAGAGGTGAGGGGAAAAGAGGTGAGGGGGAAAAGAGGTGAGGGGGAAAAGAGGTGAGGGGGAAAAGAGGTGAGGGGGAAAAGAGGTGAGGGAGAAAAGAGGTGAGGGGGAAAAGACGAGGTGAGGAGGCCGAGGAAGTGAGGGAGGGAGGGAAGGAGGGAGGAAGGGAGGGAGGGAGGGCAAGCAAGCGCACCGAAGGCATGTGGCAACTGATGCAGGAACGCGTCTCCTAGCATGGCTCCAGCCTGCAGACAATCGTGCGAGGTGGGTGGGAGGGTAGGGGAGGAGGGGGAGCATTTGAGACGACTCAGCAGCGCACCGAAGGCATGTGGCAGATGATGAAGGAAGGCGCCTCCCAGCATGGCTCCAGCCTGCAGACAATGGTGGAAGAGGGGAAGGGGGAGGAGAAGGGATGGGGGGAATAGGATGGCTTTCAGCACTTGCAGCAATAAGAGATAGGTGCCTGCAGGCAGCGTGGGGAGGGGCCGTTCACCCCTGAAGCTGCCAGGCCATTAAACAGCGCCCGGGGGAAGCTTGCCCTTGCCCTAGACTGTAGAGATAAGCGCACACTCACTCACTCACCCACTCACTCACCCACTCACTCACTCAATCAATAACTCGCTCTCACTCACTCACCCACTCACTCACTCAATCAATAACTCGCTCTCACTCACCCACTTACTCACTCACTCACTCACTCAATCACTCAATCACTCACCCACCCACCACCCACCCACTCACTCACCCCAAATGCAGCCAGCCGTCAACCAGCGCCCGGGGAAGCTTGCCCCTTGTCTGCAGCAGAGAGAGGCACCCAGGGGGGGTGGTGGAACGACAAAGGGCGGGTTGAGGTGAGCAGTGGAATGAGAAAGGGCGGGTGCATGTGAGTGGCGGAATGGGAAAAGAAGAGCGACAGTAGAGTGCAAACAGCGTCCTCCTCACTGTGCAAACAGTGTGGAGGCTTGCTGTCGAAAGAGCCACCGCCGAGTGCAAATGGTGGCTGGCAGCAGAAAGAACTCACAGCAGACGAGGGGCAGCAGGGTGAGGCAGATGAGGGAGCAAGAGAAGAAAAGGTGAGGGCGAGCTACGGAGAAGGTCCTGGGGCTACTCTTCTTGGGCTACTCGTAGCCTACTCATACTCACAGCAGACGAGGGGCAGCAGGGTGAGGCAGATGAGGGAGCAGAGCGAAACAACGAGAGCACTGCCCATAGCCTCCAGCCAGATGGCTGCAGAGGGAGACAGGAAGAAAACGACGGACCAGCAGCAACAAGGGGGAGGAACGGACAGCAACAAGCGAGGTCATGGGAAACTGTGGAAGGGAGACGATGCGAGCGCTGCCCATAGCCTCCAGCCAGATGGCTGCAGAGGGAGCCCGGAAGAAAAGGACGGACCAGCAGCAACAAGGGGAGGAACGGACAGCAATAAGGGAGGGTCATGGGAAACAGTGGAAGGGAGGCGATGCGAGCGCTGCCCATAGCCTCCAGCCAGATGGCTGCAGAGGGAGACGAAGAAAAGGACGGACCAGCAGCAACAAGGGGGAGGAACAGACAACAACAAGGGAGGTCATGGAAACAGTGGAAGGGAGACGATGCGAGGGCTGCCCATAGCCTCCAGCCAGATGGGGCAGAGGAGACTGGAAGAAAAGGACGGACCAGCAGCAACAAGGGGGAGGAACGGACAGCAACAAGGGAGGGTCATGGGAAACAGTGGAAGGGAGACGATGCGAGCGCTGCCCATAGCCTCCAGCCAGATGGCTGCAGAGGGAGACCGGAAGAAAAGGACGGACCAGCAGCAACAAGGGGGAGGAACGGACAGCAACAAGGGAGGGTCATGGGAAACAGTGGAAGGGAGACGATGCGAGCGCTGCCCATAGCCTCCAGCCAGATGGCTGCAGAGGGAGACAGGAAGAAAAGGACGGACCAGCAGCAACAAGGGGGAGGAACGGACAGCAACAAGGGAGGGTCATGGGAAACAGTGGAAGGGAGACGATGCGAGCGCTGCCCATAGCCTCCAGCCAGATGGCTGCAGAGGGAGACCGGAAGAAAAGGACGGACCAGCAGCAACAAGGGGGAGGAACGGACAGCAACAAGGGAGGGTCATGGGAAACAGTGGAAGGGAGACGATGCGAGCGCTGCCCATAGCCTCCAGCCAGATGGCTGCAGAGGGAGACAGGAAGAAAAGGACGGACCAGCAGCAACAAGGGGGAGGAACGGACAGCAACAAGGGAGGGTCATGGGAAACAGTGGAAGGGAGACGATGCGAGCGCTGCCCATAGCCTCCAGCCAGATGGCTGCAGAGGGAGACCGGAAGAAAAGGACGGACCAGCAGCAACAAGGGGGAGGAACGGACAGCAACAAGGGAGGGTCATGGAAACAGTGGAAGGGAGACGATGCGAGCGCTGCCCATAGCCTCCAGCCAGATGGCTACTTGGGTGGGCGGATTGGGGGATCAGGGGAGGGAATGTGAAGAGCATCAATGAGAAGGAAGGGGCAGAGGGGAGATAAGACAATCCGAACAACAGCTTAGTAGTGAGGGAAATGCCAGGCATCCGGCCATAGGGCTGGAAGGGTGAGGATTGGAGGGGTTGGGTGGGGGAGGGAGAGGAGGGTCAGTATCATGAGGTGAGAGGCTCACCTAGCAGCTTCTGGTTCAGAGCTCATCTAGTAGGGCCTTACCTAGCAGCTTCTGGTCCATGGCCAGATTGTCCTGTCCGCCTCCCAGTCCTCCTCCTCCTCCTCGTCCTCCTCTTCTTCCTCAACGCCCTCTCCTCCGCCTCCTCCTCTGGGTGCCTGAACCCGCTGCTCTCTCTGCTGCCTGCGCCTTGCCCTTCACCTTCTGCCCTGCTGCGTGGGAGTGGTGGTGGTGATGCTGATGATGATGCCCATGGTCCTTCTGCATGTGTCCATGCCCATTCGCATGCCCATGGTCATGATCATGATCATGATCATGCCCCATGCATGTGGATGTGCTCATCTGCATGCTCTTTGGAATTGTGGGATGGGAAGGAATGGGGAGGTGGGATTTTGGGAGAGAAAGGGAGAGAACAAGGCGTGTCAGAGGTCCAGAGGAAGCAAATCCGCATGCTTCTGAGACATTTCTGTGGCTTCAGAATGCGATCTAAGCTTCACACGGTTGAACATGCAATTTCAGTGCTCCAAGTTGCAATTTCACGGCGCATTCAGGAAGCGATTTCAGTGACCATGGATGCTATTTCATTGCCTAGGATGCAAAATCAGTTCTTCAGAATGATATATTAAAACGCCTCCGATTTCACTTTACTTTATTTTGCAAGACGCACCTATATCTTCCCACGAGGAAATCCCACCAGCGCCACCACCATGCATGTGATCATGATGGTCATGGTCATGGGAATGACCATGGGAGTGACCATGGCTGTGGCTGCACTGTGCTGACGCGATCTCTGACGTCATCACAAGCGAAACCACCAGTGCGAAAATCGCGACTAGAGGCAGGAGGAAACATTTGGTCGCCATCGGGTGCAATAACCGGTTGAAACTTCGGGATAACGTTCGCTAGCTACAAAGGCGAGGTGGACTTTAGCGAATTGCGGGAAACCGTGCAGGAACTTCGCGATCTCTATCGGAGCGGGACACGTGCGTCTGTGACACGCGTGGCGCGTGAGAGCACGGCCTGGTAAGAGATCGGCTGTCGCATTTCCCGCACCCTAAAATGGATTAGTGTGAGTCAGAAAATGGGAATGGAGAAATTATTTCATTTGCGGGAGGATTGTGGGAAATGGGATGGCATGCCGCTTCTCGTGCTGCATAAACATTCGCTCTCAGGGAGTGTTCGCAATGACGACACTTGACGAAAATATAACGCGATTTGTTGGGCAGTTGGGCCAGAACGTGCAATTTACAAATTTCGAGGCTAGACAAGCCCGGAAAGGCTTTCCCGCGGATATGGAGTACGCTTCTGGGCACACGTAACTCGCGGAAAATGAAGATGAAAGCCGAACTCCGAATTGGAAACGGGGTTCAGCAAGCCTTGAAATTGGTTCAGTAACAGGGGCTACGCAGCGAATTCTGGCGAACAGCCTTTAGGGCAAGCGAGGCCTCGCGTAGCGATCACGAAACTGGTACTCTCTCCTCTTGTCCTAGCCAGATAATCAGTTCCTCCTATGCCATAAGCATATAACTGGTCGCATAGGCCATTTTCCCTTTCCGAGCTCCCGATTGTTGCTCCTTATGCGTCCCGCTCTTGCTCATCCGTTACCGTAGGGGAGTCACGTCGATAGCTCAGAGTCGCGGCGTGACCTACCCTAGATTCCGGCGTCGAGCTTCGACGCCGGCTGAGCCAGGGTGTCTCACGACGAGCCAGCGTGTCTCACGGCGCTGAATCAGCGTTGTGGTAGCGATGGCGGGATATGAGCCTCCGCCGTTTAGAGACGGTAGCAGCGGGCGATCAGGCAGCACGGATCTGCACACCGATCTGTACGCGTTATTGCACGTCTCGCGGGACGCGTCTGACGATGAGCTGAAACGCGCGTATCGCCAGCTCGCTTCGGTGTACCACCTGACAAGTACCCCTTTCCGCAGGTACTAGTGGCAAATACCCCAGCGCCGTCCCACATAGGGAAGCTTCAGTAAAGGGGGGGTTTTTATCTGTAACGGGGCATTAGATACGTCCTTACTGAGAATCTTTCTTCCTCACTTCGTCTACCCATGCACCGTCCCACATAGGTAAGCTTCAGTAAAGGGGGAGGTTTTTATCTGTAGCGGGGCGTCAGACACGTCTCTACTGAGTGAATTCTTCTCCCTCGCCTCGACTTCCCTTCGCTCTCTTCGCCAAGGAATAATCCTCGTTATCCGCTCTCCTCGTTACGTGTTACAGATGCAAGATGTCGCCAAGGATCACTTTCAGCGGATCCGATCCGCCTACGAGGTTTTGTCCGACCCGGCCAAGAGGCAGGTACGTGGAAAGCCGTATTTTTTGCCTTGATGCTTCTTGCGTGTATGTTTAAGAACAACTGTTAAAGGATAATTGGACCCATTCACACGGTTTGGTCCGAACAAGGCTGTGTCAAAACCAGTGGTTAAGGGGGAGGGTCCAAGGGCGTGGTGTTTCGTGGGTGTTTTAATGGAAGTTAGGAGCTCGGCCATGGTGTTAGCAGCTCGGCCATGGGGTTAGCAGCTCGGCCATGGGGTTTAGCAGCTCGGTCATGGGGTTAGCAGCTCGGCCATGGGGTTAGCAGCTCGGCCATGGGGTTAGCAGCTCGGCCATGGGGCTAGCAGCTCGGCCATGGGGTTAGCAGCTCGGCCATGGGGTTAGCAGCTCGGCCATGCGGTTAGCAGCTCGGCCATGGGGTTAGCAGCTCGGCCATGGGGCTAGCAGCTCGGCCATGCGGTTAGCAGCTCGGCCATGGAGCTAGGCCCGCACCTGCGGACGAGGCAGGAGATACGGGAGGAGTGAGCGCAGAGGGCAATTGAGGGTGCGTTATTGGCCCCCTTGTTCCCCCCCCGGCCGAACAAGCAGGTGTATGACCTGTACGGCATTGAGGGCGTGGTGTCAGGCATGGAGCTAGGCCCACACCTGCGGACTCCTCCCCCAATGAGACATGTCCCCCTTCCCCCCCTCTTCCCCCCCTCCCTATATGACAGGTGTATGACCTGTACGGCATAGAGGGCGTGGTGTCGGGCATGGAGCTAGGCCCACACCTGCGCACGAGGCAGGAGATACGGGAGGAGTGGGAGCGGGCGCAGAGGAGGAGGGAGGAGCTGAAAGCGGCGATGCGCACCCAGCACTCGTCCTCCATGCTGCTGTCTGTCACTGCTGCTGATGCCCTGGCGTCAGGATTTCAACGCTTCCCCAGAATCACAGGGTATGATCTGAACCCCAAACCAAACCCTGAATCAAATGGTAGGATTTGAACCCATAACCTTGAATCATAGGGACTAATTCAAACCGCTCACCTTAAATCACAGGGTATGATCTGAACCCCAAAACCTGAGTCATGTGGTATGATTTGAACCCTCAACCCCAAACCCTCCCTGCTTGGTTTTGGGGTTCTGCCATTTTAACCATGTTCTCCCCCCCTCCCCCTCCCTCCCCTCCCCTCCTTGTATCAGCATGCAGATGTCAATGCAGAAGGTGCAGGCAGCGCTATCAGCCAAGGACACTCTTGTCCTGGGCGGCTCCATGCCCTTTCTTCTCCTCTCACCTCCCCCCTCCCGTGCTTCCACTTTCTCCCCCTCTCCCTCCTCCTCCCCCAACCAACACCTTTCAGTATGCAGATATCAACGCAGGTGCAGGCAGGCAAGGGGCGGCTGGTCCTGGGCGGCTCGATGCTCATGAGGTACATGGCAGGGAGGCTCCATGCCCTCCTCACGGCCTCTTGTGCCCCCCTTCTGGCCCCCCCCCACCCCTCGACCCCTCCCAGTATGCACATGTCAACGCAGGTCCAAGCGGTGCTACCAGACACGCTGCTCCCCCGGGCGGCTCCATGCTCCCCTCCTCCTCTTCACTCATCTCCTTCCCTGCCCTTCCCCTCCTTTTGTTCCCCCCCTGTCTCCCCTCTGCACAACCCCCTCCCAGTATGCACATGTCAACCCAAGTCCAAGCGGCGCTATCCGACAAGGACACGTTAGTCCTGGGCGGCTCCATGCTCATGAGGCGCGTGGCGGGGGGCGGCTCCATGGTGGCGGTGTTTCGCAGACAGATGGATGCATACCAGACGGCCGAGCTGGTGGCAGTTGTTGGGATTCGAACCCAGCTCACTCTGTCTACTGCACGGTACGCACTCAGGGCTCATGGGCTCATGGGCTCATGGGCTCATGGGCTCGTGGGCTCATGGGCTCATGGGCTCATGGGTTCATTGGTGCCTTGATGGGACCTCATGGGGTTGCAAATGGGGGGCGCCTCCATGGTGGCTCTGTTTAGAAGGCAGATGGGTGCATGCTGGACGGCACGGCTGAACTCGTGGCGGTGGGGGATCCGCACGCAGCTCACTCTGTCTACTGCGCGGTGAGGAGGCTATTTTTTAGGCGCCTCAAAAGTAGACTCCTCAGCTCACTCAGTCTACTGCCGGGTGAGTTTTGAGGGACGCGCTGGTGCTGGGAGGCTCCAGAGTGGCTGTGCTTAGAAGGTTTTTGAGGCGCCTCAAAAAAAGTGGCTGAGCTTAGAAGGCAGATGGGTGGGTGGGTGCATGCATGCCAGACGATGGAGCTGGTGGCAGAATCGGGGATTCGCTCCCAGGCAGCCCACTCTTTTTGAGGCGCCTCAAAAATCGCACCCAGGCAGCCCACTCTCTCCACTGCGTGATAAGGTCTTAGTGTGCTCATGAGACGCGTGCCTGTGGGAGGCTAGGCCACTGCTGGCCGTCCGTTATCCTCCTGCTGCTTCTGGCCCTGCTTTGCTCTTCTCCGTTATTTTTACCTCTCCTGTTACGTCCTCTCCTACCTCTCTCATGTGCAGACAAGTGTCGCCGTCCGTGAAGGCGACGGCAGGGGTGACGTGGCATGCTGATGATGGCTCGCTGTCATTGGCCAATTCGTGGACGTCCCAGATCACAGAATCCACTGCAGCATCTGTACGTACAGCGGCTTCCTCTCTTGCTTCCTTCTTCTCCTTACTTCTCACTTCGTACGTTGGAGATTTTAGGGGGGGGGGTAAGAGCTTTTCATACAGTTTTAAGAGCTTTTCATACAGTTTTAAGAGCCTTTCATACAGTTTTAAGAGCTTTTCATACAGTTTCAAGAGCTTTTCATACAGTTTCAAGAGCTTTTCATACAGTTTTAAGAGCTTATCATACAGTTTTAAGAGCTTTTCATACAGTTTTAAGAGCTTTTCATACAGTTTTAAGAGCTTTTCATACAGTTTTAAGAGCTTCTCATACAGTTTTAAGAGCTTTTCATACAGTTTTAAGAGCTTTTCATACAGTTTCAAGAGCTTTTCATACAGTTTCAAGAGCTTTTCTTTATGCATGAACTTTTCCCGAGATTGGATTTTCTGCTGCATCTGTACAATTATTCACTTTCTCTCACCCTCCATCTGCCTGCTATAATGCTATTAGACCGTTTGGGGGGCATTCACGTCTCCCTCCTGCCACTCGTCCGCCTTTTGTGCAGATTAACATTGCTTTAGGAGTGGATGGAGGTGCTTGTTGTGCTTCTCGAATCAAAACGAAGTTGGTGTTTTCCAACAGATTAGTCTTGAATTTTTTCCCAAATGCGATGTTTTGCTATGTCATCCCTTGTGCAGATCAACATTGGGTTGGGAGCCGATGGAGGTGCAGGAGTGGGGTGGCACACACAAAAGGACAAGAATAATTTCAATGCAGAGCTTAAAGTAAGAATTTTAGTACATTTATAAGCGCCTTTCAGTACACTTGTCAGAGTTTTATGGTGGCCATGCTTTTTAGGACAAACATCAATGGGAGCCTTTTATTGAAAACGTATCAACATCTCCCCTCGTTGCTGAACAGTGACCCTTCCCGCCTCTCCCCCTTTCCCCTCTCCTTCGTCACCCTTCCCGCTTTCCCCCTTCCCCCTTTCCCCTCTTTCACCCTTTCTCCCCTTCCCCCTGCCCCCTTTCCCCCTTTGCCCCATTCCCCCTGCCCCCATTCCCGCCTTCCCGCTGCCCATCAGGTGGGAGCAGGTTTGTCCTCAGGGGGCCTCACAGCGACCTTCGTCAGAAGGTTCTCAGAACATTCATCAGGGAGAATACACGGCAGGCTGGGAACGTGAGTGTGGTTGTGGGGGATTCTGTATAACTATACGTGGTGCTGGTGTTGTGTGTGTAGCTACATTTGTATGGGATTGAGCGGGATTGATGAGATTGGCTTGTTTTCTATTTCCAGCACTATACAATACAAGTGACAGTGTAACAGGGACAGGTCCCCCTCCCCCCCTCTCTCCCCCTCTCCCCCCCTCTCTCCCCCTCTCTCCCCCTCTCTCCCCCTCTCTCCCCCTCTCTCCCCCTCTCCCCCTCTCTCCCCCTCTCTCCCCCTCTCTCCCCCTCTCTTCTCCTATTTCCCCCGTGCCTCCTCTCTCCCCCCCATCAGCACAGGAGCAGACGTGGAGGTGGGTGGCAGCAGGAAGATATCGGACAACAGCTCTTTGGGGTTCTTTGTCACCATGGGGCTCCAGGTGAGGTGGTGCCAAGGCTGGTAGTATGGGCATGTGTTGGTGGTGGGGTGGGTATGTGTGTGCGATATGTGCACATGAGAACATGAGTCATGCATGTGCATGTGCGTATGTGCATGTGCGTATGTGCATGTGTGCATATGTGAATGCCAGGCCACACCCAACCTGCCTGGAATAGAATCCAATGCTTCCCAGCCACATCATCCCACTCCACCTTGCCCCATTTCACCCCACCCCACTCCCTGTCATCCCCCCCTTGCAGGGCACACTATGGAAGGTTCGCTACTCTCGAGGCGGCCAGAAGGTCACTGTGCCTGTAAGTGTGGCGGTGCTACTATCGGTTTCCTCTCTTTACTTCCTCCACATCTTTTTCGCAACAAGAATAGTGAGTGTGTGTGTGGGGGGGAGGGAGTAAACCTATTGTCCATTCTCAATGTCAGGAGAAAACTTTTGAGGCACCTCAAAAGTGTGTGTGTGGGGGGAGGAGGGAGTAAACCTATTTTCCATTCTCAATGCCAGGAGAATTAGTGCCGCAACCACTATTTCTCCTGGCATTGAAGAAAATATTTTAGTGGTTGTGGGGATTTATTATTTCTCCTGACATTGGGGAAATATTCCGAGTGAGGATTTATTGTTTTTCCTGACATTGCAGAAATGTTCAGTGGGTGGTGGGGGTTCCCACTATTTTTCCTGGCATTGGACCCCCCCCCCATTTTCTTCTTTCTCTTCCTCCCTCCCTTAACCCTCCTCCCTCCTCCAACCCCACCCTCACCGCTTTTCCCATCTCCCCCCCTACAGGCTACACCCCAATGTCTATTCCCTTCCCTCTTCCCCGCCTCTCTCTTTTTCCCGTGCAAATTCTTCTCCCTCCCACTCTGCAACCAGCCATCTGTGCTCCAACGCGCCTCATACCGTTTGTCACACACCACTTTCTCTCTTCCCCTCCCTCACCCCTCCCCCCCATCCCCCCCTCCCTCCCCTCAACTCCAGATTCTCCTCTCCCCCACTCTACGACCAGCCATCAGCGTTCCGGCCATTCTCATTCCCTCGGTCACATACGCTGTCCTTAAGGTACTTATAGAGAAACCAACTACTCCTAAACACGATTCTCCCAAATATTCTTAAGCTGTTGTTGCTGCTGCCTTCCGCCTCACTCCTACCTTCCCCAACCCAACCTAACCCCTTCACAAACCGTCTCCCCCTTGAATTGCATCCCATCCCACCCGCCTCTGCATAGTGTACATTTTTTAGACATCTCAAAAACATCTCGTCCCACCCGCTTCTGCATGATATACATGAACTCGTACTCTTACTCAACGGGGGCCAATTTCAGCCTCTCTTATACTGCAGCATTGGGTGTTCGTCCAATGGAAGCACACAGATCTGAGAGGCTCGGCAGGACAGGAAGGTTTGGAGGCGCCTCAAAACTATACAGGAAGGTTCGGCAAGTATTGCTGTGCACCTGCTCCCATACCTTTCCATCTCTCCCCACCCCTCCCCCTCTTCCCTTCCCCCCGCAATCCTCGCCCCATGCCTCCACTCCAGCATTGGGTGTTCAGCCGGTGGAAACAGATCCGGGAGGCTCGGCAGGACCGGGAGGTTCGGCAGAAGTCAGCTAAGCAGGTCTGGGAGTCCATGGCTGAGGCTCGGCAGCTCCAGGACATGATGACCCCGGTGGTAACCAGACGGGTAACCGCGTTACAGCAGCGGCAAAACGGCAACGCTCTGATGATCATATCGGCGAAATACGGACGCCTGGGAGGAGCTGGGGGGGAAGGAGAGAGGGAGAGTCGAAACGAGAGCACGAATAGTGGCAATGGCAGTGGCAGTGGTGGTAGTGGTAGTGGTAGTGGTGGTGGTAGTGGTGGGAGGGAAGGGGAAGGGAGAAGAGCTGCATCTGGAATTGGCTCGATGTTTGAGAGAATAGGCGGGCTGCTCAGGAGAGGTTTGGGAGGAATCGGAGGGGGAGGAGGAGGAGGAGAGGAGGGAGTGGGTGGGAGTGAGAATGAGGGTTGGGATGAGGATGAGTGGGAGGAGGGGGAGGGGGGAGGCGAGAGGGTGGTGCTGCCTCCTGCAGTTTGGGATGTGCGCATTCCGCTGCAATTCCTTGTTGATGATGCCAGCAACACACTACAGGTGCGTGCGAGGTGCTTGCGCTGCTCCTCTGTGCGTGAGTATGGGATGAAGATGAGTGGGAGCGGAGAGCGTGGTGCTGCGTACCTCCTGCAGTGTGGGATGTGCGCATTCCACTGCAATTCCTTGTCGATGATGCAAGCAACACGCTGCAGGTGAGTGTCTGAGTGTGTATGTGTGTATGGGTGATGAGTTAGTGTGCGCATGTACGTGCATATCTGCATGTATGCATCTTCGCATTCTTCTCTTTCTCCTCCCCTGCTACCCAAGCCAGTGAGCAGGAAAGGCGATGCTCAACCCTGTGCTAAGACTGCTCCGGATCCCAGCGCCCAATGGACTGCTCGGGGTCCCAGCGCCCAATGGACTGCTCTGGATCCCAGCGCCCAATGGACTGCTCGGGATCCCAGCGCCCGATGGACTGCTCGGGATCCCAGCGCCCAATGGACTGCTCGGGATCCCAGCGCCCAATGGTCTGCTCGGGATCCCAGCGCCCTATGGACTGCTCGGGATCCCAGCGCCCTATGGACTGCTCGGGGTCCCAGCGCCCACTGGACTGCTCGGGATCCCAGCGCCCGCTGGACTGCTCGGGATCCCAGCGCCCGCTGGACTGCTCGGGATCCCAGCGCCCAATGGACTGCTCGGGGCCCCAGCGCCCAATGGACTGCTCGGGATCCCAGCGCCCGATGGACTGCACGGGATCCCAGTGCCCGATGGACTGCTCGGGATCCCAGCGCCCTATGGACTGCGCGGGGCCCCAGCGCCCAATGGACTGCTCGGGATCCCAGCGCCCTATGGACTGCTCGGGATCCCAGCGCCCGATGCACTGCTCGGGATCCCAGCGCCCTATGGACTGCTCGGGGTCCCAGCGCCAAATGGACTGCTCGGGATCCCAGCGCCCGCTGGACTGCTCGGGATCCCAGCGCCCGATGGACTGCTCGGGATCCCAGCGCCCAATGGACTGCTCGGGGCCCCAGCGCCCAATGGACTGCTCGGGATCCCAGCGCCCGATGGACTGCACGGGATCCCAGTGCCCGATGGACTGCTCGGGGTCCCAGCGCCAAATGGACTGCGCGGGGCCCCAGCGCCCTATGGACTGCTCGGGATCCCAGCGCCAAATGGACTGCTCGGGGTCCCAGCGACCAATGGACTGCTCGGGATCCCAGCACCCGATGGACTGCTCGGGATCCCAGCGCCCTATGGACTGCTCGGGGTCCCAGCGCCAAATTGGACTGCGCGGGGCCCCAGCGCCCAATGGACTGCTCGGGATCCCAGCGCCCGATGGACTGCTCGGGATCCGAGCGCCCAATAGACTGCTCGGGATCCCAGCGCCCGATGGACTGCTCGGGATCCCAGCGCCCTATGGACTGCTCGGGGTCCCAGCGCCAAATGGACTGCCCGGGATCCCAGCGCCCACTGGACTGCTCGGGATCCCAGCGCCCGCTGGACTGCTCGGGATCCCAGCGCCCGATGGACTGCTCGGGATCCCAGCGCCCAATGGACTGCTCGGGGCCCCAGCGCCCAATGGACTGCTCGGGATCCCAGCGCCCGATGGACTGCACGGGATCCCAGTGCCCGATGGACTGCTCGGGATCCCAGCGCCCTATGGACTGCGCGGGGCCCCAGCGCCCAATGGACTGCTCGGGATCCCAGCGCCCGATGGACTGCTCGGGATCCCAGCGCCCTATGGACTGCTCGGGATCCCAGCGCCCGATGCACTGCTCGGGATCCCAGCGCCCGATGGACTGCTCGGGATCCGAGCGCCCAATAGACTGCTCGGGATCCCAGCGCCCGATGGACTGCTCGGGATCCCAGCGCCCTATGGACTGCTCGGGGTCCCAGCGCCAAATGGACTGCCCGGGATCCCAGCGCCCACTGGACTGCTCGGGATCCCAGCGCCCGCTGGACTGCTCGGGATCCCAGCGCCCGATGGACTGCTCGGGATCCCAGCGCCCAATGGACTGCTCGGGGCCCCAGCGCCCAATGGACTGCTCGGGATCCCAGCGCCCGATGGACTGCACGGGATCCCAGTGCCCGATGGACTGCTCGGGATCCCAGCGCCCTATGGACTGCGCGGGGCCCCAGCGCCCAATGGACTGCTCGGGATCCCAGCGCCCGATGGACTGCTCGGGATCCCAGCGCCCTATGGACTGCTCGGGATCCCAGCGCCCGATGGACTGCTCGGGATCCCAGCGCCCTATGGACTGCTCGGGGTCCCAGCGCCAAATGGACTGCTCGGGGTCCCAGCGCCCAATGGACTGCTCGGGATCCCAGCACCCGATGGACTGCTCGGGATCCCAGCGCCCTATGGACTGCTCGGGGTCCCAGCGCCAAATGGACTGCGCGGGGCCCCAGCGCCCAATGGACTGCTCGGGATCCCAGCGCCCGATGGACTGCTCGGGATCCGAGCGCCCAATAGACTGCTTGGGATCCCAGCGCCCGATGGACTGCTCGGGATCCCAGCGCCCAATGGACTGCTCGGGATCCGAGCGCCCGATGGACTGCTTGGGATCCCAGCGCCCGATGGACTGCTCGGGATCCCAGCGCCCTATGGACTGCTCGGGGTCCCAGCGCCAAATGGACTGCGCGGGGCCCCAGTGCCCAATGGACTGCTCGGGATCCCAGCGCCCGATGGACTGCTCGGGATCCGAGCGCCCAATAGACTGCTTGGGATCCCAGCGCCCGATGGACTGCTCGGGATCCCAGCGCCCAATGGACTGCTCGGGATCCGAGCGCCCGATGGACTGCTTGGGATCCCAGCGCCCGATGGACTGCTCGGGATCCCAGCGCCCAATGGACTGCTCGGGATCCCAGCGTCGATGGACTGCTCGGGATCCGAGCGCCCAATAGACTGCTTGGGATCCCAGCGCCCGATGGACTGCTCGGGATCCCAGCGCCCAATGGACTGCTCGGGATCCGAGCGCCCGATGGACTGCTTGGGATCCCAGCGCCCGATGGACTGCTCGGGATCCCAGCGCCCAATGGACTGCTCGGGATCCTCCTCCCCTACGTCATTCGGCATCCCCTTTTCTCCCTTTCATCTCTCTCCTCATTCGGCATCCCCTTTTCTCCCTTTCATCTCTCTCCTCATTCGGCATCCCCTTTTCTCCCTTTCATCTCTCTCCTCATTCGGCATCCCCTTTTCTCCCTTTCATCTCTCTCCTCATTCGGCATCCCCTTTTCTCCCTTTCATCTCTCTCCTCATTCGGCATCCCCTTTTCTCCCTTTCATCTCTCTCCTCATTTGGCATCCCCTTTTCTCCCTTTCATCTCTCTCCTCATTCGGCATCCCCTTTTCTCCCTTTCATCTCTCTCCTCATTCGGCATCCCCTTTTCTCCCTTTCATCTCTCTCCTCATTCGGCATCCCCTTTTCTCCCTTTCATCTCTCTCCTCATTCGGCATCCCCTTTTCTCCCTTTCATCTCTCTCCTCATTCGGCATCCCCTTTTCTCCCTTTCATCTCTCTCCTCATTCGGCATCCCCTTTTCTCCCTTTCATCTCTCTCCTCATTCGGCATCCCCTTTTCTCCCTTTCATCTCTCTCCTCATTCGGCATCCCCTTTTCTCCCTTTCATCTCTCTCCTCATTCGGCATCCCCTTTTCTCCCTTTCATCTCTCTCCTCATTCGGCATCCCCTTTTCTCCCTTTCATCTCTCTCCTCATTCGGCATCCCCTTTTCTCCCTTTCATCTCTCTCCTCATTCGGCATCCCCTTTTCTCCCTTTCATCTCTCTCCTCATTCGGCATCCCCTTTTCTCCCTTTCATCTCTCTCCTCCCCCAACCCACCTCAGCTCCATGAAGGGGTGAGCAAGAAGGGCATCATGGCCTTCTGTGACGCCGCACCTGGACTGCCCAAGAACCTCCGCACATCTTGCGCTCTTACCGTATCCCCCTCCTTCACCCCTACCCTCACCCCTCCTCCCAGCTCCATGAAGGGGTGAGCAAGAAGGGCATCATGGGGTTCTGTGACCCCGCACCAGGACTGCCCAAGAAGCTGCGAGTGGGATACTCGTACCGGGGGGAGGAGAGGGAGGTGAGTGAATGTCCTTTTGCATTCGTTGTAGTACTTTCAATTGAGCAGTTTCCGTCAGTACTTTGCACATGACTTCATTGTATGCCCATGGCTTGCATGAATGTGGTGTGTACAAGTTACTGCCCATGACCTGGATGCACTTTCATTGCCCCTAACCTCAATTCTGATTTGTCATGCCGCATTACCACATTACCATGCCATGTCTACAGGTTACTGTCAATGACCTGGATGCGCTCTCATTGCCCCTACCCTCAAGATCCCCATCGTAGCTGCGAGGGTCCTTATCTTTCCACATCGACGATTGATACACTGTACCCGAACACATACCCTGTCATACATCTTCGGATTTTTCTGCGATTTGACGGTGGCTTGGCATAGAAGCTTAGCGTAGAAATTGTTGTGATAAATGAAGTTTTGCATTCCTGCAAGTTCCGTTTTCTGTGTAGTTAGCAGTATCAAGTTTCTCATTAAGCATCCATGCCCGAGTGCTGATGTCAGCAAAGCATCGCGCGTCTCTGGATGACATCAGCATACCGATTCAGTTACGCGATTAGGCGTAACGAGTCGTTTCAGTCACGCGAACAGTCGTGACCCTATAGTATGACGAATAGGTCGCATAGCGCGCAACTAGCCGAACAGGTACTTTCCCTAGAGCTAGAAATCCTCGTAATGCCTTTTTATTATTAATCTTGACTTTCCACAGAATTATGTGCTCATGTTATTCAACCTTCGACTACCCACAAGTTCATGTGCTTAGGTTCATTCTTATAAGACTTCCGCTGTCTTACTAGTCTACCATTTTAGTAAAGATCCTAGGCTAACACTTGAGGTTTTCCAAGTGTTCGTGTTTGCAGATTCTATACGTAGTCTCCTACAACACCTGTCAAATTATTACATGGTATGAGAGCTATCTGGAATTAAGAGTACTGTCAACAACGACTGGATCAACGCCAGCACAATCTACCGGATCAAGTTCCGGAACTACTGGAGTACATGTCTCCACGACCGCCACTGGTCTCTCAGCCTCTGGACCGTTTCCACCGGCTTATGCGCACATCGGTATGCAGCAGTAGCAGCAGCAAAATCCGCCTTTTGTCAGTACTCCAGGAATTTCATCGACTGCACCTGCAGCGCAACAACAACAAACACAGACAACAGCACAACAACAGGCATCAGTACAACAACAGGCAACAGCACAACCACAGTTGTCAACTCAGTCAATATCGTCAGCGTTGAGTGGAATGAGTCTTGACGGCTCAAGTTATATGCGTGGAACTTCAGCTCCAAGTTCTGGCTCATTTGCCTTCTCACTTTTTGCGCAGCAGCCACAGCCGCAGCAGCAGCAGCCCTTCTACATCTTCGGACGTTCACCTGCTCAGCAACAGCAACAGCAACAACAGCAACAGCCTCAACAGGGTATCATCTTTCTGTCAAACATGTTTAGTTATCATGCTTGTATAGACTGTATAGGGTCATCTTCTAGAGAGTACAACAGTTAGGTATATGTTTGTGTACTCTCTCTCTCTATTTATCAATTTCACTGTTTGATATGGTATCACGCGTAGGTAGGATCCCCCCCCCCCCCCCCCCCCCTCACGCTTCCGCTCGCCCCCTAGCTGGGCCCCGTCGTGCTCCTAGCCCCGTCGCGACCCTCCCTAGCCCCGTCGCGACCCTCCCTAGCCCCGTCGCGCCCCTTCCTGGGCCCCGTTGCGCCCCTTTCTGGGCCCCGTCGCGCTCCTCCCAGGCCTCGTAGCGCCCCTCCTGGGCCCCATTGCGCTCCTCCCAGGCCCCGTCGCGCCCCTTCCAGGGCTTCGTAGCGCCCCTCCAGGCCCCGTCGCGCCCCTTTCAGGGCTTCGTAGCGCCCCTCCAGGCCCCGTCGCGCCCCTTCCAGGGCCTGGTAGCGCCCCTCCAGGGCCCCGTCGCGCTCCTCCCAGGCCCCGTAGCGCCCCTCCTGGGCCCCATTGCGCTCCTTCCAGGCCCCGTCGCGCCCCTCCCTAGCCCAGTCGCGCTCCTCCCAGGCCCCGTAGCGCCCCTCCTGGGCCCCATTGCGCTCCCCCCAGGCCCCGTCGCGCCCCTACCTGGGCTTGGTAACGCCCCTCCAGGCCCCGTCGCGCCCCTACCCATCCCCGTCGCCCCTGCTCGGCCCCGTCGCCCCTGCTCGGCCCCGTCGCCCCTGCTCGGCCCCGTCGCGGCCTATCGGCCGCGTGGCGCCCGCCCGGCCCCTGTCGCGGCTGACCGGCCCCTGTCGCACCTGCCCGGCCCCTGCTCGCCCGCCCGGCCCCGTCGCCCCTGCCCGGCCCTGCTGTTCTGCTGTGGCCTGCCCGGGCCCCGTCCCTGCCGCCCGGCCCCGTCGCCGCCGCCCGGCCCCGTCGCAGCCGCCCGGCCCCGTCGCCCCTGCCCGGCCCTGCTGTGTCCGGCCCGGCCTCGTCCCTGCCGCCCGGCCCCGTCGCAGCCGCCCGGCCCCGTCGCAGCCGCCCGGCCACGTCGCAGCCGCCCGGCCTTGTCGCTGCCGCCCGGCCCCGTCGCCGCCGCCCGGCCCCGTCGCCGCCGCCCGGCCTTGTCGTGCCTGCCCGGCCCCGACGCACCTGCCCCGGCCCTCCATACTTCCTGGTACTGTCCCCCGTTCCCCGCACCACTTTGCACCCTCCTGCACTTTCCTGCCCCGCCTTGCATCGCATTGCACCTCACTGGATCGCACTGACCGCACTGCACCGCACTGGACCGCACTGCACCGCACTGCATCGCACTGCACCGCACTGGACCGCACTGCACCGCACTGCATCGCACTGCACCGCACTGCACTGTCCTCCACTGCCCCTCATGGCTGCTGAGCTTCGTTTTGATGTTGAGGGTCAGCCTCTGGAGTTCGAGGCGTGGTTGGCTGACCTTCGCCGCCACCTCACTGGCCAGCGGCAGGACGGCCACCCGCTTTCTGCACACCTAGACGGTATGCTCCCCTGCCCTGACCCCCCTGCTGTGCTGCCCGCTGATCCCACGCCCGCTGAGCGCGAGTCCACTGCCGCTGCTGCCCTTGCCCGCTCTGTCTGGCTTTCCCGCGATGCCCTTGCTCAGCTCGCCATTAGCAATGCCCTCCCCCCCACTGAGCGCCCTCGCTTTAGAACCATTCCTACCGCCCAGGCCTACCTCGATGCTGTCATCAAGCGCTATTCTACCCCTCCTGCTGCCTCAGTGGGTCGCCTGATCCTTCCCCTGCTCTTTCCTGACCTGGCGTCTTTCCCCACTGTCTCTGACCTCGCTGCCCACCTGCGCTCGATAGATGAGGCCTGGCGCGCTGCCTGCACTGATGCTCAGCTTAGAGTCCACCAGCCTCCCATGACCTCTACCCTCTACCTCCTTGCCACCCGCCTACCTGACCGCCTTGCCGCTGCCCGCGACCAGTTCCTTAGCATCCACCCTGCTGCTCTCACCCTCACCGACTTTGTTGACACCCTGACTGCCATAGAGACTCGTCACCGCTCCATAGCCCTGGCGAGCGGTACAGTACCGGTCCCTATCTTTCAGGGTTGTGCCCCCGCTCAGTGTACCTTCTCCGACGGCTCTGTCGCTGTGGCTGAGACTGCTGCTGCAGTGCAGTCCCGCTCGGCGAAGGGCCGCCGCCCCAAGGTTGGGAGCGGCGGAGGCGGCGGGGGTGCGGGTGGGGGTAGTGGTGGAGGCGGGTCGTCCGGTGCCGGTGCGGACGTGGGGACCCTGCCCGGTCCAGCTGCCCCGCTGCCTCCACAGTTGCAGCAGCCGCAGCAGCAGCAGTCGCCGCAGCCGCAGCCTTCGCAGCAGCCGCAGCAGCCGCCGCAGACAAGGCAGGCGAGTACTCTCCCACCTGGGTGGCCTGGAGCTGGTGGTGGTCGTGCGCGTGGTGGTGCACCGGGTGGTGGTTCTGGAGGCGGGCCCTGTCAGTACCAGATCCAGACCGGTCCTCGCCGCGGCTTCGTTTGCGGTAAGATCGGTCATTCTACTCCTCGCTGTTTTCGTCGCCTGGACGACCTGTTCCGCCAGCGCTTTGGCCCGGCGCCCGACCTCCCGGACTGGCACAGCTTGCTTAGGCGTAGCATTAGGATTTTTGACTTGGACATGGATGCCATTGTAGCGGCCTTGCATGTGATGTATGCTGATGACTCTAGTGTGCTTCCCTCTTATTACCCCGTGTTGCCTAGTGTAGCGGTGCCTAGCGTAGACTCCCCTGCTGCGTCAGGCGTAGGATCTCCTGCTTTGCTTAGCCTTGGTGCTTCCACCGCTTCACTGCTGCCTCGCGCGACTGCTGCGCTTTCCTTCACCTTGGACTCTGGCGCCTCCCGGTGTTTCTTCCGCGACTCCACGACGCTGACGCCGCTGCCTGTTCCCGCTGCAGTTACTCTTGCTGACCCCTCCGGTGGTCCCGTCGTTGCCCGCAGGTCCACCTCCCTTCCCTGTCCGGCGGTTCCTTCGGGCACTCTCACAGGTCTGCATATCCCCTCGTTCTCCAGGAACCTAGTTGGTGTCGGCTGCCTCCAGGACCTTGGCGTCACCACTACGTTCCCTGGTCACGAGCGGTATGCTGTCTGTACCGAGGCCGCCACTGGTGCCCCCCTTACCACTTTCCCCCGGGACCCGGTGTCCGGCCTGTTCACACTTGACACCGCGCCGTCCCCGGCTGGGTCTTCCCCCCCGGTAGCTGCGTCCACCCAGGTTGCAGCCGCGTGCTCCTGTCGGTCCCTCACTCACCCGACTCTCCTTTGGCACCACCGCCTTGGTCACCCTGCACTCCCACGTCTGCGTCACATGTCCCAGCACGGTCTCGTCCTTAGTCTCCCCGGTTCGTTCCCCGAGTTTCCCTCCTCCCCCGCCCCACCGTGCACGCCTTGTGTCGAGGGCCGGCTCCGCCGTGCCCCTCACTCCTCCTCTTTTCCCCCTACCACCGCACCACTGCAGACTCTGCACATGGACGTCTGGGGCCCAGCCCCGGTCCATGGGCCGCGTCGCGAGCGCTTCTTCCTAGTGCTTGTCGACGACTTCACGCGCTACACCACCGTCTTCCCCCTGGAGCGGAAGGCCGACGTGCCTGACGTTCTCCTCCCCTGGCTTGTCTCTGCTCGTGTCCACCGCGGTCTCCCTGCCTTGCGCCTTCACTCCGACCGGGGTGGCGAGTTTGCCTCAGGTGTCCTTGGTCGCTTCTGTCGTGCGGAGGGCATCACCCAGACGTTTACCCTGCCGGACTCCCCGCAGCAGAATGGGGTCGCTGAGCGACGCATCGGTTTGGTCATGGAGGTGGCTCGCACCTCCATGATCCACGCCGGTGCATCCCATTTTCTGTGGCCGTTCGCCGTGCGCTACGCCGCTCACCAGCTTAACCTGTGGCCGCACCCCCAGCGGCCGCAGGTTTCGCCGACCCTTCTGTGGACCGGGTCCCCTGGTGACGCGTCTGCGTTCCGCGTCTGGGGCTGCCTTGCTCACGTTCGTGCCTCTGGCACGGACAAGCTCACTGCCCGCACCCTCCCCTGCGTCTTCCTCGGTTTCCCCCTTGACGCGTCCGACTGGCACTACTACCACCCGCCGTCTCACCGCTTCTTTCACTCTCGCGACGTCACCTTTGACGAGTCCGTCTCCTTCTACCGCCGCTTTCCCCACCGTGGTCCCCCGGTTACTCCCCCCTTTTTCTGGTTCCTCCCTCCCTGGTGGTCC